TGCGCCCGCAGGGCCGGCGCCGAGACCCAGCCTGGCCCACGCAGCCGGCTCTCCCCCTGTGGCCCTCCTTGGTGTCGGGCGGCCTGAAGCCCCTCCCGCCAAGTGCACAACATCGTTTGAGTGACCGCCATCGTGGTCGTCCTCCTCCTGCTCTGAGAATGGCAGAGCTGTCAGCCTAGGGATCCTTGGGAAAGTGGGAGATGGTCCTTCTGAAACTGGGCACCTGCTTGGGTCCCTCCGCCCGCCCCACCTCCCTCCCCGGGCACTGCTCTTGGAACCGCCTGACCGTGGCAGCACCGCTTTGATCTGTTACTGACGGTTATTTTCTTTGTGATTGTCTCTTTATTGCTTTCCCTCTGGGAACTTCTCTGCAGGAGATCCCTGAAGACATGGGATCAAAAGGCCTGAGTAAGTGACCTGCCCCAGCGACCTCTGACCCCCACCCCACCCCAATCCCACCTTCATATTCTACCCCATTCGACTGCCTGATGGCTCCAGCTGGTCAAAGGAATTCTGCCCCTTCCTCAGCCGGCCCGGCGGCGGGGCTGTGCTTTCTTTCTCTCAGTTTGCCCTCTCCTTTTAAAAGTGTGCGATTTGGAACTCTCCAAGTATTTGNTTGATTTGATTCTCTTCCCCCACCTCCTCCCTCCCTCCCTCCCTCCCTCTCACCTTGCTCATGTTGACCTAGGTGTGCAACCTGGCAAGGGAAGGCTTCTCTGTGGAGCCCCATCCAGGAGTGTGTGTGCATGTGTGCGTGCGTGCGTGTTAGAGATGGCAATCCTGCCGAGCACAGCCAGGGCAGCTGTAGAGGTCACATTAAAGGCCACCACATCCATCACCTCCTCCCTCCCTCCCTCCCTCCCTCTCACCTTGCTCATGTTGACCTAGGTGTGCAACCTGGCAAGGGAAGGCTTCTCTGTGGAGCCCCATCCAGGAGTGTGTGTGCATGTGTGCGTGCGTGCGTGTTAGAGATGGCAATCCTGCCGAGCACAGCCAGGGCAGCTGTAGAGGTCACATTAAAGGCCACCACATCCATGCGAACGGAGGACCCGCCTTTCCGTTCTAAAAGTTTGGACAAAGACTCTTCGAGTCCTGGCGGTTGCAGACAGTGGCCTCCTTTGCCTCTGGCCGTCCTGAGCTGACCCGGGCAGCCTCTGCCTCCCTTTTGGCTGGGTGTGCAGCTCTCTTGGCATGCTCAGAGGCATCGCTGGCATCATCATCATCTAGGCTGGCTCTCTGGTTGCCAGGCACCTGCTTTAAAGCCCTTCCTTCCTTCCTTCCTTCCTTCCCTCCCAAATGGGTGCTGCTTTTTCCTGGTCTTCCTTCTTTCCCCCCTCTTGGGGTGGCTCAGATCCAGCTGAAGGGAGAGCTTTCTAGCGGTGGCGGTTGCTCCTTAACCTCTTTATTCCCGAGCACAACCCGCTTGCCTCAGAGAGCCAAAGCATCACGATTGCGTCTGCAATGGCTTCCTTTGGGGTCGAGACCTGTGGCTGTGGGCCTCGGTCGGCGTGGTTGTGGCCCCTCAGAATCTAGAGGCCAACAAGCGGGGCCTGAAGGGACGACTGCCCTTCCCCCCCCCGGCGCCCTCGTGTTGCCCATCATGCGGGCATCCGACGGGGGCAGTTTTGAGCTCAGGGTCTTCTTAGGAGCCAGAGGGGGGGGGAAGGGAAGGGGGGAGGGGTTGGCCAGGAGGGACCAGTCCGTGCTGCCGTGCGGATGTCGTGAAAGAGCCATGCCTCAGTGGCCTGGGGCGCAGGCGGCATGAAATGGGGACCAGAATAATCCGATCGGCAACGAGTCCGGTTTCGATGCGTCGGCACAAGGTTTTCAAGCACGCTGGTGTCAGTTTCAGAATGCTGTGGTCTTGGTCCCTTTCCTGTTACCTCTCCTTGTTTCTCTGTTTGTTTAAAATGTTTTTGTCCTGCCTTTCTCCTAAAAGGATCCAAAGCAGCTTACAGTATTTAAAAAATTAACTATAAAAGCTAAAAACAATAAATGATTACAGCGTTGAAAAGAATTAAACAAATATATTAAAAACTCAGATAAAAGCAGTACTGAAAACACATTTTAAAAACAACAGCCCCATTTGAAGGGAAAAAAAACTTTAGCCAGCTCATCACTGAGGGAAGACTTGCCTGAAGAGAAAGGTTTTTGCCTGCCAAGATGGAGCCAGCCTGGCCTCCAGTGGGAGGGAGTTCCAGAGTCTCTGGGAGCAGCCACCAAAGAGGCCCAGGTGTCCTGTGTCCCTACACCAAACGTGTCTGTGAAGGTGGCGGGACCGAGAGAAAGGCCTCTCGTCATGATTCTAACACCCAGGCAGCTCATTATTGGAGACACAGTCCTTGAAATAGCTTGGACTCAAGCCCTAGGCGAAAAACAGCCCTTGGAATTGTGCCCAGAGAGGGATCGGCAGCCCGTGGAGCAGCTGCAGCGGGCGGGGCGGGGGGGGGCTTCTGTGATCCCTGTGACCAGCGCCCGTCGGCCGTCTGGCTGCCGTGTTTCAGGCCCACTGAAGTTTCCGGACACTTTCCGAAGGCAGTCCCACGTAGAGCCCCATTGTGTTAATGGCGTGCACTCTTCTCCTCGTAGGAGAGGCCACCAAGAATGCATGTAGGAGGGGGTGTGAGTTGGAGGGAATCAACCTCAGGGGCAAGGGTGGGGGTGCTCTTAACTGGGCAGCTGGAGGCACAAGGCATCTGCCTGCAGGAGGGGCTGGACGCCCCCCACCTCCCCCCCCCGTGCATGCTCTCCCTTCTCTCCCAGGTCCAGTTTAGCCAGAGGAGCCCAGCAGGGCTCCAGGCCGGGTCCAGTGGCTCTGCCTTTACTGGGGGGGGGGAGCGGTGGGTGGCAAGGATTTCTACCACCCAGCTCTAGTTGCACCGCTACGCTTTTTGGGAGGTACGATGCAAATGAGGACTCAAGAAGGGCCAGGCGACTCTGCCGGCTCCCCCCATTCCCCTCTGGGGTGTCTTCCCCAGACCCCCAGGGTCTTCCAGAGCGAGAGAAAGCCCTGAGAGGCTGGTCTGGCCCAAGCCAGTGGCCGGCGTCCAGGGCCCTGGCTGGCTGGTCGCTGAGCCCAAGCCTCCCGCTTCCATCTGAGGCCCTCGGTGGTGGTGGTGGGGCGTTGGGTTCTGCTTTCTGTCCAGACGAGCCCAGCCAAAGAATGCCGCTCTTGCCCTTTTGGGAAACATTGCTGAGATAAAGACCCCTGCCCCACCCCACCCCAAATCTGGTCGGGGGGGCGAGGACCATCTGGCATCCTGACAGAGGATCCCGGCCCCTTTCCCACGTGCGCCATGGCAGAGCGCAGGGAGAAGGCTGCCGATGCAATAAGCACATCCCAGGTCATGACCTCAGGCAAAATCCAGAGGAACAAAACCAAAGAAGAAGACATTTCAGGACCATTGCAATACTGTATTAGGGACCTCCTTCCCTCTTGGGGGGGGGGGCTGATGCGAAGGGACCTGGGTCTGGGCTACTCTCCAGCCATAAAAGGGAGATCCTTGGGGCTGAGTCCTTCAGGGGGGGGGGGCTGCTGCTGCTGCTGCTGAATGGCCTGGATCAGGGTGCGGGGATTGTCCTGTCATCCTTCCGTTTGGAAGCCGGACCTTGTGCAGAGAGGGCTTCTGCAGCAGAGTCAGGCTCCAGGGCCGCCGGCCGCCTGCCAGGACATCCACCACCACCTGGGCCAGGGGACGTGCTGCCAAGACAGAGGCACCCCCGAGTGGCCTGGCCAGTTGGGCCGGGAGTTCACCCTTGGGGCTCTGGGGGCTGCTTTTCTGGCCA